GTCGACCAGGCTAGCTGTAGAGTTGCTAGGTGCCTGATGTAGTCATTCTTGTCATTGCTTGTTAAACAATTGTGTAATTCCAACTTTGCTAGTGAAAATTCTTGCCAATTTCTCCCGTGATTGTGCAAGCACTAAGGAATTAGGCAAAGCTACGATCACTCTTAGTAGTTCGTGCCAACCCACTAGTCTAGCTCACTACAGTTGGAGAGTGATTCTCTGCAAGCAGCCGCATGGATCATGGAGGTATGAGCCACCTCCATGACTAAGCCAATGCGGCGCTCAGCAATCCCATTTTGCTGAGGTGAGCCCGGAAGCGTGAACGACTGGAGGATGCCCTCCCCACGACAAAAGTCCCTCAAGAGGTTGGAGGAGAACTCACCACCTCTGTTAGAGTGCGGACACAGGACAGGAAGGTCTTGGCCGAACCGCTCGCGGAGCTGGAGACGGACCGTGCGGATCCAAGGGATCAAGACATCAACGACCTGACCCTTGCTGCGCAAGGAGAAGACCGTGGTGTACCGCGTGTAGTCGTCAACGACCAGCAGAAAGTAGCACTCGCGGCTCTGTCCACTGACGCGGGCTGGGCCCCACACATCCATGTGGAGAGTCTGCAGGGGAGCATTCGTCGGGGGAAACGAGGAGGAGTGAGGAGCGGCGCGCTGCCGCCCCTCGACGCAAGGAAGTCAGGGTGGGGCAAGCGAGGGCGGCAGGGGAGGCAGGGACCTGGGAAGACCAGAGACAAGAAGACGAGAGTGCATGCCACGAAGGCGTGGCAGGGAGGGGTGACCCAGGCAGTGGTGCCACAGAAGAGTCTGGTGCGACAGGAGGCGACACGAGCAAGAGGCGGCTACCTGACCTGACGCGGACACCTGAGCAGACGCAGCTACCTGAGGAGGCTCGGTAGTGAATGTGTACAGACTCGACCCTGGCCGACGAGTGAACGTGGCCAGGTGACGCCCCGTCCGTGTGCACGTGCAGATCGACACACGCTGACCCCCAGGAGTGGTGGTAGTGACCATCGCATCCTGGAGGGCAGCGGTACTCACCAAGTTCATAGAGAACGAGGGGAGATGAAGACCTGACAGTGAGCTGGACGGAACCGCCGGACATGGGAGGACAATGGAGGAATGGGCAACGACCGGGCCCCTAGAGGGGTCAGCCAGTCTGACCGGGACAGGTGCAGGGAGAGGAGTGAGAGTGGTGCTGTCACGAAAGAAACAGCGCGAGGCGCATGAGTCCAACGTGAAGGTGTGCAAGGCCTGAGCAGGCGCAGTACCAGGGAGAGTACCAGACTCACTAGCACCTAGAGCAGCAGCAGCTATACCTGGGTCAGGCGGCACACACCGGTAACAGTCACCCTCAGCACTAACAGACAAAGCATACATAGCAAAAGAATAACATCAAAGTCTAGGTCAAAGATAGCAATCCTAGACCTAAGGAGATCAGCCCAGCGAGGGAGCTCGACGTCGTCACCAAACTCAGCACGCCAAGCGTCGTCAAGGCGGGAGAAGCAGTTGTGCTGAGTGTGAAGCTTTCCGCATGTCTGACCAGCACGGTCACCCGTGCGAATGACATACGGGCAGCAGCCACTACCCCCAGACGCCCCACGCTGCAAAAACCACTCACGAAGCTGCTGGGGCGACTGGGTCTCGCTCCGACGCTGCTGCTGCTGACGCTGGCCACCTCCAAAACCTCCACGCCGAGCGCCAGTCCCACCGCCACCAGTCCCACCGCCGCCACTGCCGCCACTCCCACTGCTGCCTCCACTGCCGCCACCAACACCCCCACCCCTGCCACCACTCCCACCGCTGCCACCACCTCCGCTGCCTCCACCACCTCCACTGCTGCCCCCACGACCACTCCCGCTTCCCCCTCCACCACCCTTGCTACCCTTGCCCTTGCCGCTGCGGCGCTTCACACTAGCAGAAGCAGCTTCGACGTCCTCAGCACCAGGGACGTCTGCAGCAGCGGCAGAGGCGTAAGAGGGGGCAAGGGGGGAGGGGGAGCACCCCTCAAAGAAGGGCAGGCGCGGAGTGCCGCGAGCAGCACCTACAGCAATTGCACTAGTCTGAGCTGCGAGGAGGTGCTGCTCGAGTAGGTCAACAGTGAGGGAGGTGGGGTCAAGAGAGAAAGTGGTCCCTGACAGAGCGAAGAGAGTCAGGGAGGCGAGTGACTATGAAGTAGAGGGTGTTCAACATCGGGGGCTGGTTCCTGTCAAGGAACTCAGCAGGGACGGTAGCGCGGTAGCGAGCGTCACTAGTGCGCAGGTGGGAAACAAGGTCCTCTACCATTGTAAAGGCTGACAGCTCGGGGAACACGTAGGGCAGAAGCAGTCGGCCTAGAGCAGCAGTGGCAGGCGAGGAGTAGCGAGCGACTACAGCGTCGTACAGGGCCTGTGCTGTCCTGTGCTGTCCAAAGTGGGCACATTCGGCTAGCGGCAGGTGGTTGCGAATGGCCAAGCGGGCAGCAGCGTCGCGAGTAAGCCACTGTGAGCGAGTCGCACTGTCAGGTGTGGCGGGAGGGGCAGGAGCGGCGCCTGACGCAAGGTCAAACAGCGAAACACTGTCCTTAGAATCGCTCAGTAGGTACAGCTGCAGGTCGTCGAGCCACGTGTTAAACTGAACAAATCTGCCCTCATGATCAAACGCGAGAACCCTAAGCGAAGCCATAGCTGTGTAGCACGCAGGAGCAGCAGTAGCAGTAGCAGTAGCAGCAGTAGCAGTAGCAGCAGTAGCAGCAGCAGCAGCAGCAGTAGCAGCTGTAGTAGCAGCAGGGAGAGAGAGGCCAAGGGGCCAAGGGACCTGGGGCCTAGGGGCCGAGGGGCGCGGCCGAGGGGCCTAGGGGCCGAGGGGCCAAACATGAAGGGGGGGCCTAGGGGCCGAGGGTCCAAGGGGCCGAGGGGCCTGGGGCCTAGGGGCCGAGGGGCCGAGGGGCGGGGCCGAGGGGCCTAGGGGCCGAGGGGCCAAACACGAAGGGGGGGGGCCTAGGGGCCGAGGGACCAAGGGGCCTAGGGGCCGAGGGGCGGGGCCGAGGGGCCTAGGGGCCGAGGGGCCAAACACGAAGGGGGGGGGGGGGGGGGGGGGCAAGGGGCCGAGGGGTCAAGGGGCCGAGGGGCCTGGGGCCTAGGGGCCGAGGGGCCGAGGGGCGGGGCCGAGGGGCCTAGGGGCCGAGGGGCCAAACACGAAGGGGGGGGGCCTAGGGGCCGAGGGGCTATGGGGCCGAGGGGCCTGCGGCCTAGGGGCCGAGGGGCCGAGGGGCGGGGCTGAGGGGCCTAGGGGCCTAGGGGCCAAACACGAAGGGGGGGGGCCTAGGGGCCAAGGGGCCTAGGGGCGACGGGTCGCTAGGGGCCGAGGCTAGGGCGACGGGGCGACGGGGCCGCGGCTAGGGGCGACGGGTCGCGGGTCGCTAGGGGCCGAGGCTAGGGCGACGGGGCGACGGGGCGACGGGGCGAAGGATCGTGGGTCGCTAGGGGTAGGGCAACGGGGCGATGGGGCCACGGCTAGGGGCGATGGGTCGCGGGTCGCTAGGGGCCGAGGCTAGGGCGATTGGGCGACGGGGCGACGGGGCCGCGGTTAGGGGCGACGGGGCGAAGGGTCGCGGGTCACTAGGGGCCGAGGCTAGGGCGACGGGGCGATGGGGCCACGGCTAGGGGCGACGGGTTGCGGGTCGCTAGGGGCCGAGGCTAGGGCGACTGGGCGACGGGGCCGCGGCTAGGGGCGACGGGGCGACGGGCTCGCGGCTAGGGGCGACGGGGCAACGGGTCGCGAGGGGGGGGGGGGGGGGCGCGGCTAGGGGCGACGGGGCCAAGGGGCCGCGGCTAGGAGCGACGGGGCCAAGGGGCCGAGGGTTGGGCGACGGGGCGACGGGTCGCTAGGGGCCACGGCTAGGGCAACGGGGCTACGGGGCCAAGAGGCCGCGGCTAGGGCCGACGGGGCCAAGGGGCCATGGCTAGGGCGACGGGGCGACGGGGCCAAGGGGTCGTGGCTAGAGGCGACGGGTCGGGGCCTAGGGGGCCTACGGGCCGCGAGGGTGGCTAGCAGGGCAGCAGGTGGTGGGCCCAAAAAACGGTCCTAGAAGGGACCTGCTCTGAAACCATGTCAAAGTAACGAACGAGAATGAATGAACTATGAAAGAGTTGGGTACAAGTACTAACCCTAATTGGGTTGTACCCCTTATGGGCTACCCCACTATAGCCTACACAATATAAGCTATATAACATTTTGACACTGCAACCCTGATTTGTAAGGGTGGGCCTAAACCAATTTTGGGCCCTGCTTGGAAGAATGGAAAGTCTTGAAATTCAGACCAAGGCAAAAAAACAGGTCTGTATATCAGAAAATCATACCATTTTGGTCTGAAAAAATAATCCGTGGGAAACATATGGGAGAAGGGGGGAAGGTGCACCACTAAAACAAGAAGTATATAACTACACTAGGATCTATTGTAGGCAGGTATATAAATGTATACAAATCAATTTCAACATGGTTCCATGGTTTGCAAATAATCACTGAGTTCATCTCAATAATCGTAGTCCATTTCGAACTCCGTCTCGTACTCATACTCCTGCAACCACCCCAGCTCCTTCCCCAGCGCATCCATGCGCTTCCTCTGTGCATCAAAGTCCGTTAATGGGGTGGTGAACGGGTATATGTACACCACGCGCCCCGCTATAGAGCGATACAGTACATTGTCGTCGCGCAGTAGCAGCTCGATAGTGTCACGCCCAAACAGGCCGTCTGTTTTGGCCCTTATGTAGTGCCCTCCTGAGAGGTGGGATATGTGAGAAGGGACAGAAATTTATGACCCCCGTAGGCATGGTGAGTGCTGTGTATGCATGGATGTGTATGTGTATGTGTATGTGTACGTGCATGTGTATGTGTATGTGTATGTGTATGCATATGTGTATGTGTGTGCGTGAGCATGTTTGTGTGTTTGCGTGTGTGCACATGAACATGATAAAATCAACAAGTAATGAACGTAGTTGCAGTGGAAAGCGAGAACTAAGGGGAAGGACGGAGAGAGGGAAGCGAGGGAGCGAGGGGGCGAGGGAGGGAGAAAGGGAGGGAGGGAGGGAGGGAGGGAGGGAGGGAGGGAGGGAGGGAGGGAGGGAGGGAGGGAGGGAGGGAGGGAGGGAGGGAGGGAGGGAGGGAGGGGAGGGAGGGGAGGGAGGGAGGGGAGGGGAGGGGAGGGCGGGGGAGGGCAGGGGAGGGGAGGGCAGGGGGGGGGAGGGTAGGGAGGGGAGGGGAGGGGAGGGGAGGGGGGGGGGGAGGGGAGGGGAGGGAGGGGAGGGGAGGGGAGGGGAGGGTAGGGGAGGGAGGGGAGGGAGGGGAGGGAGGGGAGGGAGGGGAGGGAGGGGAGGGAGGGGAGGGAGGGGAGGGAGGGGAGGGAGAAGAGGGAGGTGAGGGAGGGGAGGGAGGGGTGGGGAGGGAAGGGAGGGGAGGGGAGGGAAGGGAGGGGAGGGAAGGAAGGGAGGGGTGGGGAGGGAAGGGAGGGGAGGGGTGGGAAGGGAGGGGAGGGGAGGGAAGGGAGGGAAGGGAGGGGAAGGAAGGGAGGGAGGAAAGGGAGTGGGGGGAGGGGAGGGAAAGATGAGAGGAAAGGACTTATGAGAGTGGGGAAAGGGAGAATGGAAGGTGAGGGAGGGAGAGTGGGGTGGGAGGGAAGGAGGGGCGGGTGCGCCAGTCACAAGCATGGGAGGAAGAGGGAGGCAGCGTCTGACCATCAGCGACATCTACTGACTCCTCGATGACCGGGTTCTTGAGCGCAGAGAGAAGCACTCCCTCTAGCCTCTGTTGCCACCATGCATGCATGCATGTGTGCACACATGTAGACATGGGTGCATGCACACACACGCACATACATTCACACACACATATGCATGTACATAGGTTCACACACACATATGCATGTACATAGGTTCACACACACATATGCATGTACATAGGTTCACACACACATATGCATGTACATAGGTTCACACACACATATGCATGTACATAGGTTCACACACACATATGCATGTACATAGGTTCACACACACATATGCATGTACATAGGTTCACACACACATATGCATGTACATAGGTTCACACACACATATGCATGTACATAGGTTCACACACACATATGCATGTACATAGGTTCACACACACATATGCATGTACATAGGTTCACACACACATATGCATGTACATAGGTTCACACACACATATGCATGTACATAGGTTCTCACACACATATGCATGTACATAGGTTCACACACACATATGCATGTACATAGGTTCTCACACACATCCATGCATGTACACACGCCCACACATGCCGATGAATGGCGTTGAGAAGGGGAGCAGTCCGGGGCAGGGAATAATGAGAGGATAAGCTTCAATGCACTCTCCCTCATGCCGTCCCTCACCCTCTCACCGCCCATGCAACCAGGACAGCCGAGGCAGCACTAAGCAATGGCACATTCCAGAGCTGGCAGCAAGTAGTCAAGGCCTGGAAGGGTCTTGCTGGAACCCGGAGTCTTTGCAGTTACCCGTATTTGCACAGCCTAATCATCACCGTATTTGCACAGCCTACTCATCACCGTATTTGCACAGCCTACTCATCACCGTATTTGCACAGCCTACTCATAACTGGATGGCTGTTGCGGTAGTGAGGGAGGGGCCGGTCCAGGGCGGCGAGTAGGCAAGGCTGGAAAGGGCACGAACGCAACCGAGTGTCCAGATTCACTGTATTTGCACAGCCCGCTCATACCTGCACGGCCCTGAAGGCACTGAGGGAAGGCACGGTCCAAGGTGGCGAGTAGGCAAGGCTGAGGGAGGAGGTGGAGATACAGTTGGGGTTGACCGCCAGGGGACAGGGGCGGATGCGACTGATGAAGGGAGAGGAGGGGGGTGGTGAGGGGGGAGAGAGTTGGTGGGAGGAGCATGGGGAAACACAGGACAGGCAGCAAGAGGGGATGAGGAGGGTGGCGACACAGATAGGATTCATTGCCAGCAGGCAGAGGCCGGCGCAAGTGAAGGGGGTCGAGGGAGGGAAAGGGGACAGTGGTGGGGCAGCATGGGAGGGAGAAGCATGGAGGAAACAAGAGACAGACAGCAAGCGAGGCTGAGAGGGGGGTTGAGAGAGTTAGAATTCTCCGCCAGGAGGCAGGGGCGGATGCGACTCAAGGGGGGAAATGGGAGGGAAGGGAAGTGGGGGGGAAGGGGAGCGGAATGGGAGGGGGAAGGGACACAGGTGGGGCAGCATGGTAGACAGTAGGCGAGGGTAAGGGTGCGGTGCAGAGCAGATAGAGTTGGGTTTCACCACCAGGGGACAGGGGCGGATGCTACTGAGTGGTAGAGTGGTGGAGAAGATAAGGCCGAGAGTGTGGGGGAGGGGTGAAGAGGAATTGGCAGTGGAGGGTGAGAGAGGAGGTGGAGACGTAGGTGGGGTTGAAAGGCCCTGCATGGATGTGACAGGGGGCGGGGGCGAATGTGACCTGGGGGGGAGGGGGGGGGTGGGGGAGGAGGGGAAGCATGGAATAGAAAAATAGTGGAGGAAAGGGAGGGAAGGAGCGTGTGGTTGGGAGGAAAAGGTATAGGGAGAAAGGCAGGAGAAGAATGGGGGATGATAAGGAGAAGGGAGCGTGTGTTTGAACACTCGAAGATTGAGAAACGCGAGCGAGAGAGAGAGGGGAGGAGGAAGGGGGGCGAGGGGAAGAGGTAGCATGTGGGCATGCTGGAAGCAGGAAGGGTTGCGAGTGAGGGGAGGGTTGTGAGTGATAATGGGGAAAGAAGGGAGGGAGAGAGAGGGAGCGAGAGAGGGAGCGAAAAGGAAGGACAGAGGTCACTATCACAAACAGCATAGAACACCGCAGGCCCTCATCGCCACTCCCACCGGCCCCTATGAGCCCTTTCCTTTCACATGGCTTCCCACTCACCCGCCCACCAACCCCCAAACCTTCCCACTCACCCGCCCACCAACCCCCAAACCTTCCCACTCACCCGCCCACCAACCCCCAAACCTTCCCACTCACCCGCCCACCAACCCCCAAACCTTCCCACTCACCCGCCCACCAACCCCCAAACCTTCCCACTCACCCGCCCACCAACCCCCAAACCTTCCCACTCACCCGCCCACCAACCCCCAAACCTTCCCACTCACCCGCCCACCAACCCCCAAACCTTCCCACTCACCCGCCCACCAACCCCCAAACCTTCCCACTCACCCGCCCACCAACCCCCAAACCTTCCCACTCACCCGCCCACCAACCCCCAAACCTTCCCACTCACCCGCCCACCAACCCCCAAACCTTCCCACTCACCCGCCCACCAACCCCCAAACCTTCCCACTCACCCGCCCACCAACCCCCAAACCTTCCCACTCACCCGCCCACCAACCCCCAAACCTTCCCACTCACCCGCCCACCAACCCCCAAACCTTCCCACTCACCCGCCCACCAACCCCCAAACCTTCCCACTCACCCGCCCACCAACCCCCAAACCTTCCCACTCACCCGCCCACCAACCCCCAAACCTTCCCACTCACCCGCCCACCAACCCCCAAACCTTCCCACTCACCCGCCCACCAACCCCCAAACCTTCCCACTCACCCGCCCACCAACCCCCAAACCTTCCCACTCACCCGCCCACCAACCCCCAAACCTTCCCACTCACCCGCCCACCAACCCCCAAACCTTCCCACTCACCCGCCCACCAACCCCCAAACCTTCCCACTCACCCGCCCACCAACCCCCAAACCTTCCCACTCACCCGCCCACCAACCCCCAAACCTTCCCACTCACCCGCCCACCAACCCCCAAACCTTCCCACTCACCCGCCCACCAACCCCCAAACCTTCCCACTCACCCGCCCACCAACCCCCAAACCTTCCCACTCACCCGCCCACCAACCCCCAAACCTTCCCACTCACCCGCCCACCAACCCCCAAACCTTCCCACTCACCCGCCCACCAACCCCCAAACCTTCCCACTCACCCGCCCACCAACCCCCAAACCTTCCCACTCACCCGCCCACCAACCCCCAAACCTTCCCACTCACCCGCCCACCAACCCCCAAACCTTCCCACTCACCCGCCCACCAACCCCAAACCTTCCCACTCACCCGCCCACCAACCCCCAAACCTTCCCACTCACCCGCCCACCAACCCCCAAACCTTCCCACTCACCCGCCCACCAACCCCCAAACCTTCCCACTCACCCGCCCACCAACCCCCAAACCTTCCCACTCACCCGCCCACCAACCCCCAAACCTTCCCACTCACCCGCCCACCAACCCCCAAACCTTCCCACTCACCCGCCCACCAACCCCCAAACCTTCCCACTCACCCGCCCACCAACCCCAAACCTTCCACTCACCCGCCCACCAACCCCCAAACCTTCCCACTCACCCGCCCACCAACCCCCAAACCTTCCCACTCACCCGCCCACCAACCCCCAAACCTTCCCACTCACCCGCCCACCAACCCCCAAACCTTCCCACTCACCCGCCCACCAACCCCCAAACCTTCCCACTCACCCGCCCACCAACCCCCAAACCTTCCCACTCACCCGCCCACCAACCCCCAAACCTTCCCACTCACCCGCCCACCAACCCCCAAACCTTCCCACTCACCCGCCCACCAACCCCCAAACCTTCCCACTCACCCGCCCACCAACCCCCAAACCTTCCCACTCACCCGCCCACCAACCCCCAAACCTTCCCACTCACCCGCCCACCAACCCCCAAACCTTCCCACTCACCCGCCCACCAACCCCCAAACCTTCCCACTCACCCGCCCACCAACCCCCAAACCTTCCCACTCACCCGCCCACCAACCCCCAAACCTTCCCACTCACCCGCCCACCAACCCCCAAACCTTCCCACTCACCCGCCCACCAACCCCCAAACCTTCCCACTCACCCGCCCACCAACCCCCAAACCTTCCCACTCACCCGCCCACCAACCCCCAAACCTTCCCACTCACCCGCCCACCAACCCCCAAACCTTCCCACTCACCCGCCCACCAACCCCCAAACCTTCCCACTCACCCGCCCACCAACCCCCAAACCTTCCCACTCACCCGCCCACCAACCCCCAAACCTTCCCACTCACCCGCCCACCAACCCCCAAACCTTCCCACTCACCCGCCCACCAACCCCCAAACCTTCCCACTCACCCGCCCACCAACCCCCAAACCTTCCCACTCACCCGCCCACCAACCCCCAAACCTTCCCACTCACCCGCCCACCAACCCCCAAACCTTCCCACTCACCCGCCCACCAACCCCCAAACCTTCCCACTCACCCGCCCACCAACCCCCAAACCTTCCCACTCACCCGCCCACCAACCCCCAAACCTTCCCACTCACCCGCCCACCAACCCCCAAACCTTCCCACTCACCCGCCCACCAACCCCCAAACCTTCCCACTCACCCGCCCACCAACCCCCAAACCTTCCCACTCACCCGCCCACCAACCCCCAAACCTTCCCACTCACCCGCCCACCAACCCCAAACCTTCCCACTCACCCGCCCACCAACCCCCAAACCTTCCCACTCACCCGCCCACCAACCCCCAAACCTTCCCACTCACCCGCCCACCAACCCCCAAACCTTCCCACTCACCCGCCCACCAACCCCCAAACCTTCCCACTCACCCGCCCACCAACCCCCAAACCTTCCCACTCACCCGCCCACCAACCCCCAAACCTTCCCACTCACCCGCCCACCAACCCCCAAACCTTCCCACTCACCCGCCCACCAACCCCCAAACCTTCCCCCTCACCCGCCCACCACCCCCAACCTTCCCCCTCACCCGCCCACCAACCCCCAGACCTTCCCCCTCACCCGCCCACCAACCCCCAAACCTTCCCCCTCACCCGCCCACCAACCCCCAAACCTTCCCCCTCACCCGCCCAGTGCCCACCACCCCCAACCTTCCCCCTCACCCGCCCACCACCCCCAACCTTCCCCCTCACCCACCCACCAGTCCCCCAACCTTCGTGCTCACCCGTCCAGCAGCCCCACGTCCTCATCCTGCTCCTCCTGCGCGCGCGCATACGGCGACTGCTCCGCTGCAGCTACCGATGCCACCACCGATGGCTGGGCTGCATGGGGAGAGCGGGAGGGAGGGGAGGTGAGAGGAGGATTTGTGAGAGAGAGAGTGGGAAGCGGCAATAACAGCTCATTCTGCTCCTCCTGCGCGTGCGCATAGGGGGACTGCTCCGCTGCTGCCACCCATGGGTGGGCTGGGTGGGGAGAGTGGGGGGAAGAGGAGGCGGTGAGAGGAGGATGAGGTGAGGGGAGGGTGAGAGAGCGGAAGCGGAAAGCGCAAACGATGGCATGTGAGTGGGGAAAACGGGAACGGGGCGAGGAAAGGACGACGGGGGGAAGGGCTGTGGGAGCAGTGGGGAGAAGTGGGGGGGAGCAGTGGGGAGAAATGGGGGGAGAGCCGTGGGGAGAAATGGGGGGAGCCGTGGTGCAATTTCCAGAGCGTGGATCTGGAAACTGCACTCACGGGTGGAGGGAGGGGGAGGGAACAAGAAGCAGAGTGGACTCGAGGGAGGAAGGTAGAATGGAATCTAGCATATCTGCAAGCAAACAGCATCAAGCCCACGCCTCGTTTGAGCCCTCAGGGTTCCTCCAGCTGTAATCGTACAAGCAATCTCGTTTAGAGGACCTCTTCTGACGAATTCTCTGTAGCGAGCCTCATCTAGCGCTCGATTGTACCCCAGCATGATTGAGAGTTCGTACCCGCGTTGAAAGCAGCAGCGACGGCCTCGAGAGGACTCGCGGCGGCGGCCAGATGAATCGCGACCAACGCGCCGGCGACCGCGGAAACAATGCGGCCACGTGGCGATGCGCGACTTGCGGACGCCACGTCACCGCAGTCAACGCCAACAGCGGCGCGCGGAGCAGATTCACGGGGGGGCGCCACATCAGATTTGTCGGATTTAACGGCTCGGGGGGACGCGTCGTTGGATCCGACGGCTCTCCCTGCCCGAATTGCAACGGCTCGGCGCGCAAGCGGACCACTGACTGCTCTGAGGGGCCCATATGGACGGGGGAAAGCCGGGAAGAGGCGTGCAGACGGAATTAGGGCCACGCGGGAGGCTCGGAGCGGCGCGGAAAACACACCCGTCGCTATCGGCGTTGCCTGCGGACAGTGCGACGCCATGGTCGCTGTGAGGAAAGGAAATGCGATTGCTCGCTAGCCGAATACAGGGAGACTCTTTCTGGTTTGTCTGCCAAATACGCGATAGATGATGGCAGCATACTCGTTATACCTTTAATAAAAACTCTAAAACACAAATCGGTACAAAAAAGGTGCCCAGGCAGACTGCAAATTTTCGAAGTGACAAAACAGTTCCGTTGCCGGGACTTGAACCCGGGTCTCTCGGGTGAGAGCCGAGTATCCTAACCGACTAGACTACAACGGATGCGAGCTGAATTAAACTGTTTGGTTTAAGACTACATCGTTATCACTCTGACCCAAACTCATGGCTCAGTTGGAAAACCGCGGCCCGGTCTTCTGCCTCGACAATTTCCAGCCTTGATGGTAGGCCCGTCAAGCACCCCACATTTCCTCGCGTTACCGTTATCATGCTAGTTCAATATATAATATTCGCTCATTCATTCGCTCAATGTATCGTTTTGCTTTGCTAGTGCAATAGTCAATAAAGGACAATGTAATATACTGTTATCTTCTCCATTACATACCCCCTCTCCATGCCTTCAAAGGTCAGCAAACTTTCCCTGCTTTGTTTAAAAAACTTTAATATTTATGCCTTTTTTTTCTAGAAACTCTGAAACTGAAGTTATTTTCTCCCTTTCTTCTTTTTCTCACGTAACACTTGGCTATGACAGCCATTCTCTTTTCGGACCGCGCATTTCCGTACACTCTTAGAAAAGTGCGTCATCGTCTACTTCGACGACATGGTACTAATCTACAAATTCGACAGAACACAACACTTAAAGGATATTGCAGTGGTGTAAACAAATTAGTGTTGAAATGTATTTGTATACATTCATATAAATGCCTACAGTAGCCTAGTGTAGTTATCTTAGTTTCCTGCTAGGTGGTGTACCATTTGCCTAATTCCTTGCCTATATCTTGTATGCCCTCTACTATTGAACCCCCCTTTTTGGCTTGCACTTTTCCTCTCGTCACTCTCGCCTAGGTCAAACCCTAGGCCCCTAAACTATTATGTTTGACATGGTACAGAGCACGTAACATCCTGGCCTGCTGTTTTTTCAACTACTCCATGGGCCCACCAAGTCTTCCCCTGCCGTCCTGCCTATCGCGCGCCTCGGGCGCGCGCTGATTTTCTGCCCGTCGTGCGCCCCGAGGTGCGCGACGGTGCCCTGCCTGCCTGCCCGTCGTGCGCCCCGTGGTGCGCGACGGTGCCCTGCCTGCCTGCCCGTCGTGCGCCCCGTGGCGCGCGACGGTGCCCTGCCCGTCGTGCGCCCAGGGCTGATTTTATCAGGGTAATTACCCTGATTTCAGGGTGATTTCAGGCTTTCCACTTCGTGGAGACTGAAATTTCAGAGTTATTGAATTTCCAGCCCTGATCCAATCAGAGTAATAGTTTAGCTATCCCTGATTTTGAGTACAGTGTAACAGACTAGGCTGTTAGTGGACCCTGACTTAACAGAGTATCGACTGTGTGGACCCTGACTTATTGAGAGGAAGTTTCTCGGAAGTTTCCTTCCGATGACCCCGCCTTGGATTGATCGCAGTGATCCCCCCACATGTGCGTAATCCCCCCCTTCCCGCTTTATCGAGACGAAGTTTCTTCGAAACTTCGTTCTGATCGAAACTTCGAGACTTTATGGAGAGTGGGGATATTTTCCCCGACTTATCGAAAGGAAGTTTCTCGGAAGTTTTCTTCCGATGACCCCGCCTTGGATTGATCGCAGTGACCCCCCCACATGTGCGTAATCCCCCCCCTTCCCGCTTTATCGAGACGAAGTTTCTTCGAAACTTCGTTCTGATCGAAACTTCGAGACTTTATGGAGAGTGGGGATATTTTCCCCGGTAACAAAGCGCGCGTTACTAATCTGATGTTCAGTTCTCGACCCTGAACAATCAGTGTTAACTACTTTACAACCCTGAGCAATCAGGGTACTGCTTTTCTGGAAAATGTGCACCCATAATAGAGGGGGAAAATTTTCCCCGGAATCAGGGAAGCTTAAAATGAAACGTCAGCCCTGCGTGCGCCCCGAGGCGTGCGGCGGTTTCGTCGCCTGTTGCGGCGCACCGGGGGCCCGCGCACCCCCCCCCCCCCCCCGCCTTTTCCCGTCACGGCGCCCTGGGGGGCCGCGCGTCGGCCCCTCCCGTCTTCGTCGCGGCCCTGCCCTGCCCTGCCGTCCTGCCCCGGCCCTGCCCCGCACCTGCTGCTCGTGTGCCAGTAAAAAAAAAGGGGGGGGAAGGGGTGGGGTTTGCGCGTGGGTGACACATCTCCTGCCGCTGCTGTTCGCCTTTTCCTCCCACTCACTGCTGCTCGTACACCCGTGGGGGGAGGGGGAGTGTGAGGGGGTGGCGATGATAAGAAACGAGGAATGGAATGACTAAGTGAAAGTTGGGTACAAGAAGCAAACCCTAGAAAACTGTACCCCATATGTGCTACCCCACTATAGCCTACAGTAGCTATGTCATATAAATCTGACACACCCCCATAGGCAAAGTGGGGGAGAACAAGGGGTCACAAGACCAGTCAAGCAAAGCAAAGCAAAAACAAGCTCAGGGTGGATCACAAAGTCACCACACATTCCGAGCACAAGTTCAAGGCCACAAGGCCAGTTCACAAGCAGGAGTACACATATATATAAAAAGGCTAGACAAACAAGAGCAGGTATATATATATGTAACAGTACAAGCAAGGTCAAGAGGTGAGCAAGTGAGGCAAGGTAGGCACAAGGCCCAACTGAGTACAGAAGCGCTGATGGTCACAAGGCGCAAGTGCCTTGGTGAAGATATCAGCAGTGTTGGCCTCAGAGGCCACGTACGCAAGACGCAGCTGACCACGCTGCTGCAGCTCACGAGCAAGAAAGTAGCGGAGAGCAATGTGCTTCGTTCTGTGCTCCAGTCGCTGCTCCCGACACAAGGCCAGCATGGCCTTGTTGTCTACGTACAGCACTGGAGGAGAACGAGGCAACTCTCCGAGGTCAGTCAGCAGGTAGGTGAGCCAGCGAAGCTCCTGTGCAGCCATGGCTCCTGCGTAGATCTCAGCCTCACAACTGGAGCCGAGAACAGAAGACGAGCGAGTAGCCCGCCACGAAACAGAGCCGGAACCAAGGCTGAAGGTGTAACCCTGTGACGACCGCTGCGTAGCCTGGTCGTCAGCCCAAGAAGCGTCTGCGTGCCCAGTAAGGACCACTGGACTCTGCCCTCCAAGCACAAGCCCCATGCCCGACGTACTGCACAAGTAGCGCAACACCCTCTTAGCTGCAGCCATGTGCTCCGGTCTGTGTCTCCCAGGAGCAACATAGCGTGCAAGAATGCTAAGAGGGTATGCAAGGTCAGGTCGTGTGCAGGTCATCAGGTACATGAGGCAGCCAACAAGCTCTGGGTACGGGCCACTCGACTCTACGGACTCATCCGAAGGCAGAGCTGAGAGCGAGTGGCGAGTAGGCAGAGGAGTGGCCTGAGGCGAGGAGTACGTGAAGCCGAAGCGCTGAAGGACCTGCTGCACCATGTGTGACTGAGTCAGGGTAATGGTGCGGCGTGCTCTGTCCCGAGTGATCTGCAAGCCAAGGTAGCTGCGCAGTTCACCCAGGTCAGTGCACGTGTGTCTCTTCTGCAGCTCGGACTTCACGTGGGCTAGTCCAGCAGTGTCAGCTGTGGCAAAGACCAAGTCGTCGACGTACACGAGGATGTAGAACGGCGGCAAAGAAGTGTCGGTGCGCAGAAACAGCGACGGGTCGGCAGTAGAGGGAGCAAACCCAAGAGCTGCAAGTGTAGTCCTCAGTGTGTCGTGCCACTCACGCGGTGCCTGGCGGAGACCGTAGACTGGCCGCCGTAGGCTCCACTGGGTGCCAGGAGGAAAAGACCCAGTGAAGCCAGGTGGGCGACGCAGCCAGATCTCCTCGTGCAGGCTGCCCTGCA